CATTCCACGCGGCACGATGTGAACCGTACAGCGTTTCTAACTTTGCTATGAGATATGAGCTGTTTTCAATAACCTGGGCTCCGGTATTCGTGCTGCAGCGTTGTAAAATGAAGCATGCAATTTCGTAGCAGCTACTACAGTAACAGTGAATAAAATGGATACTATTTTGGCTGTGCTGTGTTGCTTTATGGCATAGTATGTCAGTCAGGCATAATAAGGCCACAGGCCACACTGGGATTCGATTCCCGGTAGCGGAGATATCTTCCTCGTAGCTACCGTTAACAGGTCGGATAGATCCTCACCAGTTTCCTACGCAACGGGTGACGAGGATAAATCAGAAAGGGCGTGAATCTGACCACTCATCTCCATCTACTGCCGATGTCAAGAATGTGTTCGCTCTAACATGGTTTTCAATAAATGCAAGGGACAACTTTACATTTCCTATGGCCAGTTACGACAAGAGAATTGGGCAGTCACTAGTAGAAGTGACGTATAAGTGAAAATCCTTGCGTGCAGTTAAGAGTAACAGATAACCCTTTGAAACCGAAACTCAGTATTTTAACATTCAGTCCATAAAAACACAACACATCACCACTACAAGGATCAGCTTGCTAATGCTGTTTAAGTTAATAATCGCAAATCGTCGTTAAATAAATTGTGAATAAGAAACTATAAATGCATAAAGACGTTATGAAAACCTTATTAAGTGCATTATTCACGATGCTGTATAAGATACAAATGTTATTAGCATCCTATAAAACGCAGAATGGTCATAACACACTTAAGGCGTTGTGTCTCTATTAAAACGTATAAGCGTGTACGCAAACTTCCTCGTGACGCTCACAAGAACGCGAGGCGGATAAATGTTCTGCAATACGCGTTATAAGAATATAAACAACAGATTGACGGAAATTACAATGACGTTAATGGAACCTCCTATTTGGAAAGTGTTAGTATGAATCAAGGAAATTGGTCATTTACCTGAAACCCATGAATCTCATCTACCACATGATGACGCAATCAATCCGAGACACTAATATCGGCGTAGTCACGACTAGTAAACATTCCCCCCACCCATTGATTTTCTGAAATTTCGAAACGCCATCCAGCGGTCACCGAACTGTAGGACTTTATGAAGTTCTTACATATTTCCTCACAGTGTATTAACCACAGAGATTATTTACCGTTGAATGAGTAGAAAAAGAGTTGGAAGTTGGCGCTTGTAGCATGTTTCAAAGTGATGTCTTGGAATTAGTCTTAGAGACTGAAACCAGGAAATGGCGCAATGAGGTTAGCATTTACCCTGAAACATAACGGAAGCCGGAACCCATAGAACACTTCCATTAAAAGGTAAAATTTAAAAATTTAAGATGGCTGTCTTCGTGTTTGTATTGCCGTGTAGTCTGATAAATGTTTAACGACGTTTCAGAGGTATTTTCTCTCCACCAGACTACGCGACGTTGCAACCCAGAAGACAACCATATTCATACTAGCCGCAGTGACAATCTAAAATCCTACTACGAAATTTAAATTTGGTAAGTTGATTTATTCTTAGGTTATTTAACGGCGTTTTTCGACTATAATCATTAGGAGGTCATACGCGCACACAATGCTGATGGAAAAACCTTTTAGCCGGGTAAACACATTACCAGAACAAAGGATATAATAATGATTCCAGGAACACAGACACGCCTATTTCACACTACATCCACCATATGTTAAACTACCTGGAAATAGCAGTAGTTCCCTGACACAGCATTTATCAATCTGTAGTTCGTGAACTGCTATCGGTACAAAAAATCTCAGTTGTACATTTTTATCGATTGATGTTTCTATACTAAATGATCTAAGTGCAGTTTCAAAAGCCTTTTATCCCTGACAAACACACCATCGTGGAATTACGAACGATTACTGTTTTAGAAACAGATCACAACTTGAAGAGTATGTAACGCAGAACTTCATAATTTCTTAAATTTATTTTCCTGAAACAGGCAGGTAATGAGTCTCGGGAATAAAGTCTGAATCTAGGTCATGGACAGACATCTTGTAACATGGTGTGAATATATAACAATAAGTATTTTACATTTACCAAACTTAGTAGTGCTTTTACACCTACCTTTTTCTTAAAATACACCTCGATATTACAGTCAGACCGACTGACGAATTAGTGATTTTCCTCAACAACAAATAAATGCCGTCAGAATGTCTTTAAACACGACCAAAGACAGTTCCACCAATTTGTTTTAATAACACAACCCCAAAATTCGTTACGTCATTAGGGCATGGAACTTCACAAAGTCTGAGTCATGGTAATGCCAGTTCCTCCGGAAATGTCCAACGTTTCTAACTTATTTTGACGGGGTTAGACCAGTCATGAGTTCTCCACATACTAGGAAACTATTATACTTCGCGGGAGTGCTCGGAAATCAACCGATGCTTACGAAACACGAGAATTTCCTGGGTAATTTGAAAAGTATGTAACTGATACCAAAGAACTTGGTCCACTTTAATTGGATGTATGATGCCAAGCCCACTTATATATATATGGAGGCTTCTTACAATCCGTATCACAGGGTTCGGTCGAACACCATGAGGCATCATCTGGCTGTGATCCTGGTTTTGCCACTCGTGGCATCCGTGCTACTACACGCAGAGGTAAAAGGTATGTGCTGGAGACAGAAGAGCTCCTATTCTTCCTTTTATTCTTTATTCCCTTTTATTTCTTGCGTGTTTTTTCTCTTCTTCGTCTATTTTTCTTTCGTACTCCCTTTTTATTTATTTATTTATTTATTTATTCATTCATTCATTCTCTTTCTGCATTTAGGAGCCAGCACTAGCGAGTCCACGAACAAGCAGACAGCCGAGTCAAAGAATTCAAAATTTAATTTTGGTTACAATAGCAATGGCGTAAATCCTGGAAGCGTTGTGTACACATTAGGTGGTTACTACCCAGGAGGTAGTGGATACTACCCTGCAGGTGCAAACGGCGGATACCCTGGATACCCTGGAGCAGCTGGTAAGCTTTGTATCACATTATTTATCAATATAATACCGTGTCATTCTTTGTGGTGGAAACCTGTTTACTCATGTTTTGTTCCTTGTACGAATTTATTTTGCGATAACTTGTCAGTACATTAGATCTAGGCTTCATGTATAAATATCAGCGATTCATAATACACAATACAGGCCTATTGCAGTGTTTTATGCAATCTCAAATTTTCTTTAACTTTCCAAAGTTCGAGTATAGAACAACGGTCGGCAACCTTTTAATTACCGCGGCCCGCATTGGCTATTCGTATCTTTGCGGAGGGCAGAAGAAAAAAAGGTCGAAGAGTTTCCTCGTAATATGTAACTGATTTCATGTCATTACAACGTTATTTATTTTTTTGCATATTTGTATACGAGCAAATCTTACGACATTACATCTGTATCAACAGTGATTGCTTTAAATAAAGTAAATGTTAACAACTGTCTCATGTTTTCACATGACTCTCTAATTGCTTGGCTTGGAAACATTATAACAAATCATAATAAAAATATTTTCACGAAAAAGTAGGTTAAAGTTAAGAGTCATGTTACATTAACAGAGAATTTAACTCTAGAATATTTAGGTACTAACAGAATCGCTATTTCACAACGACATACGTGTTCCTCCTCGCTAATAAAGGTAGTGTCGATTATACACATTGCATTTATGAGGCAATTTTGTGATCAGCAGATACACTGTACTGACCATATCAAAGTAAAAGAGGTTAATATTTAAAAAGTGGAAACAGCTGATGCAACGTCTGTAAGGTCACAGATATGTAATTTAAGACGAGACAGAGACGGAAATAAAACGATATTTGAAAAGAAATAGGACATTGAGATCGAAACCACGGTATGATAAAGTTTCACGTCTCTACGGCAGACTATATAGAAATATATATTTTCTGATTTTGTGGGCTGTAGTGCTGTAAAGTCTTGTAGGTGGCTATCAACATTTTGGAGGAAAGCTTTCTCTCCATCATCGGAGTTGAAGTGCCTGACGAACATTGTTAATCACCTACAAGACTACACGGCCTAACCTAGAAGCCCACAATCAGCATCAGCCCCGTGAGAACTTCATATCTTACGTATAAAATAATTTACGAGTTGTACATGGACAATGTATTAACCTTAACGAAGATTCCGCTAGTCGCTTCAAGATATGCGCTTTCTGACCGCTCCTCCCACCTGTGATATTTTCTCAGGAGAAAATCCTGTGTATCCAGAGACAAGACCGAATCCTTGCGGCGATGAAGATGAAGGTCCAGTGTCAGGTGCAGATGGAGGCAAGATTCCTGGCGGAGTTCCAGTCGACAATGAGGTGGAGGTTTTCAATGTGCCACAGTCAAACCAAGGAGGTTACCCTGGCAGAGGAGAATATCCCAACGGAGGATATCCCAGTGGAGGGTATCCTGGATATTACCCTGGTGTCTACACAGGATAGGCAACGCAGACACAACGGAAAGATACTCAGAAGATTCTCTCTGAAATTTCAGATATGGAAATATATATCTTTTTGTTTTATTCAGAGGTTAGCCCTCATTAATTTCTATGTGAACGGTTACACATGCTTCGTCTAATTTATCCTTTGAATTAAGTGTGTGTACTTGTATATTATCATAAAACGTCTTCTTGTCGAAGATAATACAGAATAAACAGATATCGAGAATCACACGTCTGTTAATCACTTATTCCATTACGACAACTTCCGTTCAATGTACGTTTTACTTTCACACCGAACGTCGTAGTGAAGTGGATAGGGTTCCTAGTTTGTATTCTTAAAATATAGTGCTTGAAACCAAAACCTGTAACTGTCTATCCACACACAAGTTTTCCATTAATTTTCCTTTCAGATTTACCATATAAATAATAAGACAGCCATTAAATCAGGCCACGACAGATCCCTTCCACATACTTTCCAATTCACCACTCAGTCATCCTACGAACAGACTATAACATATGAAGTTAAGAAGGAGTCATTAAACAACCAAATAATCAGTCATAAAATACGCTGTCAGTACCATGTCTTTGGATAGTTTTAATATATATTCTTTCCGAACAAATTTATTTTGTCAGTATATCATAAATATTTTCAACATTCTTGTTCAAGTTTTAAATGGTCTCAAATGTAGGCGTAGTATTTGAAATCTTAATCTTGTTCCAGAATTTAATGTCCACAACGTTTAGATTTCTAATCTGTTAATATCAAGCTATAACCAGCATGCAGTGCACAAACCTACAATGAAAAAAATATGAGCGCATTGTTTTAATATTCTTATATCCCGTTGTGCGAAGATTCTAAAAAAGTTAAGCATATTATAGCGATTTTACAACTGATGCTGAAGTATAATAGGCCTCTTAAACTTGCAATTAATTTTCAACGCGACTACAGCACGTCACACTTACACCAGTAGCCAACAAATCAAACATTTGGAAAAATTGGAGACTGGTGGAAGCACGGCTTCAAATAGAATCAAATTTCTGGTCACTGTCAATACAACCTGTGCGCACTAAAATCCTTGGGTCCCAAAAATACGTATACACATTATAGTACACAATATTAACTTTGTTACTGATCCTGGTGTGTTGTCTTTACGAGCGGGGGGGGGCGTTCCTACACTTAACAGATGGGAGCGCAATATCTTTTTCAACGATTCAGATACGCAAAATGGTGGAGGGTCAATTTAGTTTCGAACGTGTGTATACATCTTCCTGATACCCCGTATTTTAATTCGGTACACTATACGGTATTCAACATTGTATTTTAGAATGTCAGTTCAACGAACAACACACTGCTTATCTTCACGAAACAGGTAAGCACCTAAAAATTGCAGTTACTCTATCACTACCAAACCTCTGAAAAAACTGATCAAGAATACGGTCGTCATACTGTATGAACATTATACAGAACATAGGCTTACATCTAAATCTAACACACCAAATTAACTAACAAAACTCCACCATACAGAGCTGTTTGGCCAAAGACAATTAGCACGATCAATGCCATAACCTTAAAAAAATCTAAGTATTTTCACAGAAATGAATCTGAAAAGCACACTTCATAAAATTGGTCTGTTTTATACACATTTCAATCAATAGTTGATTTCCATCAAGAATTAATAAAATTCCCCGAGCATTCTATCAATTACTTCTATAAAACAAGTATCCGGTTCAAATACATCATACGGGTTGGTTTAACACTAGAGGTGGACTTCGTTATTCGAAAATAAAGCTCTATTTACTTTAACATTAAGATATATCGTAGCTGCTACACTTCTCGTATATCTTACATTTTCTTAAACTTGCTTGTACATGAATATCTCGGTTGCGCCATGTTGGAGCAAGAAGGTCTTCAACCACGCTGCCTACAGGAGCAAACTTGTTTTGCTGGTTTCGTCTTCTTATTGCACTGATTTTAACAGCGATATAGAGTGCAACTTCACTCTGTATTGTATTAAAAATATCTTTCACACACACACAAAACACCAGGAAAATATATTTGTACTAACCGCTGCTATAACTTGGCATGTCACTATGATCCTTTTCACCCGCAACTGTTCTCTCGTCGAACGTGAGACTACCGGTGAACATGCAACTTTGGCTCCGTAAAAAGGTTAGTATCGTTGATGAATGAAACTTAAAAATACCTCGAATTCCCTTCTTCTTTAGAATCGATATTACAAGTTTGGCACAAGTTGGACATCCTGGTCTGAACATGAAATTAATCTAAACTTAACCTCAAAACTTGCAAGTCACAATTGTCAAGTTAAAAGGTCACTCCCCTTTCTTGCAAAAACTTGAATATGGTAGGCTTCAGTTCTGCTAACAAAATGACTTTCTGTCACTCGAGAAGTCCTGCTATATGGACTTAATGCTGACTGGCTGGCTGGCACAGTATATTATTTGATATAAATACCTTCATGATACCTCAAACTTAACATTTGTGGCACAAATGTTAAGTTCAGGATCGTTAAACAAGTATGGAATAAAGTGACTGTCAATGCCTTATGTACCTATCTTTTTACTCTTCAAATACTTTTCCTTCTTCTCTTTTGTGGATCCTGTAACTTCTCAAAAAAATTAACAGAGGTAAGATATATACAAGATTTATAGGAACATGGGATTTGGGAGTATAATTCTATATTAAGAAAGAAACTAAATTAAAATACTCACTTAATTCTACAAAAGATATTCAGTTACTGTATATTATCTGACAAATCAAGGGTACATATACAGTTACATAAGCAACTATACAATTGCTTCTAAGTGCTATCTACAACATTTTATATACATGTCACTGATACAGTTACTTATTCTATTCTTCTCTGTTAACATGCGCGTGCACACACACATGTACATGCCAAATTCAATTTCGTTATATATTATCACATTCATTGGTTATTCATTCTTGCATTCAGATCTGCTTTGCATATCTAAATATTTAAACAAGACAGTACCTATAATATAACAAAAGAGACTTAAGAAACAAAATTCAATGCAAATAACATAATGTGTGCAATGTTGTAACAATGAAATAAACATGGCATTGAAACAGGTAAAACAAAATGAATCGAAGTCCCTCTTCATATTATCCATTTTGTGAATTGAATGTTAAAAATATATATATTACAACATATTCCTGTACTATGAGCTCTGAAACATTAAGGGACTTGCTCTTTCATCAACAGGGTTGCAAAAAAGTGTGGACTAGTGGTTCTAAGCACCTGAAAGCTTGTAAACTTTGCAGAAGCAGCAGCAGCCATTCTCTGTCAACACACATTTCACTGCAGCATGACAGCAAAGAAAATCTAACACACTTTGCCATCTTTTGGATCACAATGGATTGACCACATGTATTAGTAAAGAAAACCGGCAACTTTAGGCAAAGCTGTTACATTTAGCATATGTATTATCAAAATTATCAGTATCATCATCACAGCAAAAATAACACTTCCATTAAATATCATCATCATCCTTTCCCGTATTAGGCCGCGAGGCCTGTTACGGTCTTGTATTTTCCGTCCATTTCTTCTGAGGTCGGCCGAGAGATCTTTTCCCAGCAGGGTGGTATTTCAAAATTGCCTTTGGGAATCTACTGTTGGTCATTCTATCCACATGATTTGTCAAGTCCATTAAATATGTAAATTTTAAACTACTTTCATTACTGTCTTTCGAGAAAAAGCAACTAATTACAGCCAATTCTGAAAAGGGGGAGGGTTTGACTTTTATATGTGGCATCATTACAAACAGCCCAAAAAATGGCACAGTATATTCTTAATGCTGGATGCACCATACACATAAGGAGCAAATGCAGAACTTTGTTCTTCTTGCCACTACTCTAAAAACTAAATATATATCAACGAATGTATTAAACACTATTATTATATACATTTAAATAGGATTTTGTTACATATATATATATATATATATATCTAATCATTACATACATTTTCATATTCATCGTGTATATGATGTCATATTGATCACTCCTCCGCACCTCTCTCTGACTGATTCTGAAGCATATAAAAGTCATTTCCATCCATAGTTTTCGTCACATTGGTATAATGAGCTTATCTGCAGCTTTATAGACAGCTAAGGTCTCTACAGTGTCAGAAAACCAGTCTACCACAATGCAGTGTCATCAACCACGAATGGAAATAAGATTAACAACATTATTTGTCAAAGACTGACTTTCAAATGTAAATGTTCAAATAGGAAACTTATTTTTTGCATATTTCAAACATTAATATATAATGTGTATAAAATCTCAGACCTTGAATATATTTTTATAAAACTGTGGCAAGATCAGTACAAATTTTATGTGCACTAACAATTAGTGTCTACAGTAAAATAGTAGTACAAGAAACAAGATGTTAAAATGAATAACAACACAATTCATTCGCAAAGCTTTGTCTATTTTTTTATAGAAGTAGACTGAGTTACAAAAAGGTTCTTAACTTTATTATTTTACATTGGAGGCTATTTTGATTACATTACAAAAATAACAACTAAAGAATGTCAGCACAGTAATAATTATGATACAGTTTTAGCACAATTGGGAACAATTTTATGGTGTATTAAAAGTTCAATATGAGGTAACATTAATTTGTACAAGAACTTAACTAAAAGGCCTTTTGTGTAATCAGTTTCAAGTTTTTTATGCATCCGTTTAAAATTTCCGTACAATTTATTATTGCCCACTGCAGTGTTGGTTTCCTTCAATCATAAAAAGGAATCCCATAAAATAAGAGCTTAAAAGGATAATTGCTCACTGATGACTTTGTACTCTTTCATGTGTGTACATCTTGCAGTCTGGTGATACCTGAACCTTAGCTCAGTGGTCCCCAACGCGGCGACCGCCAAGGCTTTTTTTGGGTGCCCGCGTTGTTACGGAAAGAGGTTATACTGAATAATGAAGGCTGTTCAACCACGAACATTATAAGATCAAAGCACAGATCTCGACTTACTGATGCCCATCTTGACGAATGTTTGCGAGCAGCAACGTCATCCTACACTCCCAAATTTGAAAAAACTGGCTGATGAAATGTAGCGCCAAACATCACACTAACTTCCCACTTGAGTAATAATAATTGTACTTATAAAAGTACGTATTTTTGATTGCATGGTTTCTTGTATCATTAAACGTCATGTTGTTTTGTGTATTATTTGGTGTCCATATCTTATTTGTAAAGAGAAAAGAAAATTTGGCTTTGTTAATTGGTTGGTGCCCGCCACGATCTCATAAAGTCTCAAATGTGCCTGTAGGCACAAAAAGGTTGGGGACCACTTCCCTAGATTATATATCTGTGTTTCAAATCGCATTTCCCGTTTCTACTGGATCCTCTGTCATGATGGTATATCAGACCCTCAGTTCACTGATAAATGTGATCTCCAGATATGGATGGTAACTGTGAATAAACTCAACAGTATTGACAGCTGATAGGAGGTGGTCCTAAAGCTTGTGGGTTGGGCATGGGGCTAACAATTATTCATCATGAAATTCATTATAAGGCCCTGCAACTGGAAAGATTCTTTGGAAATGCCAAGTCAGATGGAGGATTGTGTCCAATTGTAGGCTTTGACATGGCAGTACTAAACACTGCTATCCTATTGATGAGAGTTACAGCATATTTATGGAGAAAATGGATCTGAAAATACTTCATGTTTCTGAAATGTTCCTTGAACATTTAAAATTATCAAATTCTGTGACTTAAATATTTTGTCGATTATGACTGCACTGCAGTAGCTACTACATGCAAAATATTCTTTATAATAAATTATTCAATATTTTGCCAACAAATTTAATTGTGAATTTAGTTTGATTCTGACTAAAACATGAGTACTTTTCTAGCCAGAGAATTATGTTTTGGAAATGTGTCATGCTTTCTTGTAAATTTTTTAAATATTATTTATAATCAATCCTGGTAAGCAAATGGAATG